CATTTAGGAAATCAACACACCTATTCCTAGCAACAAACTGTGCTATGAACTCAACAATGTTCCTGCTCCCCAAACAATTTGCATGCACTCAACCAAAGCCATATCTACATCATGGGCATTTCTTAACAATGTTCCCAGTACAGACATTTGGAGATTGGCTAACTTGACCTCAGTTCACATTTACCAAACAATACACCATAGAGCAGCTGAAAATCTCTGACTATAAGCGCAAGGTGTCAACACACATAACGTGGAGCATCCCAGGGACAACCATCTTGAAGAACCTCAGTTACTACACCAAATGAATAACCCTCTGTTACCACAGCGCCCCCTACCAGAGCTAAACAAGACTTACAGCTATGGATGTTCTTCTGGGGGTAAGTCTACACTGCGAGGATATATCAGAAAAAGATACACATAACGTGCTCCGCATTTTGCACATCTTTTTCCAATACTTTTGTCAGAGGAGATTTTTCCGAAATGTGGCCTGTCTAGACTGGGCCAAATTTTGGAACTCCCACTCCCCTTTTTCCTTGTAGAATGAGGAATACAGGGACTTCTAAAGGAGTGTGTTTGCTCTTCCACAAAACAAAACAAACAAACAAACAAACAAAAACAGAAGAGCAAACACATTCTCTGGACATGGCAGTTTTTTTGGGTACCCAGTATCCCGAAAAAACCCCACGGCCTAGCCATACCCTGAGGTGTGACTAAATTAAACGCCTCTGCCAACAGAGGGATGTAGATTAGGCACATTGCTATTGCAAATGAAGCAGGGATTTAAATATCCTGCCCTTCATTTGAATAAAAATGGCTGCCACTTTTTGCCGATGTGACACTTTGCCGGCAAAAAGCGGCAGTCTAGATGGGGATCAGTTGACAAGGTAAGCCCTTTTTGACTGATCCCGTATGCTTCATGCAACGAGGCTTACAGTATTCCAAGCGCTACCTTTATATAACTTTAGCAGTCTTTAAAGAAATGTAGGAGCTGCCAGTTCTCTGAAGATTGCCTCCTAGCAGCCCGTTTGTTTGTGGCCCGTGGTGCGGTTTGGGCTTACGTGGGGCTCAACACATGGCCCATGGGTGGGAGCCAAAGCAAAAAAGTAGTCAATACAATGATTTTCAGTCGATATGCGTTTTAGTAATTAAATTCCTGGTCTGTCATTGTTCATTAAAAGTGCTGTCATATCGGTGGAAATTGGGGAAATTTTGCATTTTATTCATATCAGCAGAATTGACTTAAATTGGGCCTCTGTGTAGTGTAGTCTTGCATTAAACTTTGAATTTATACCGGGCAATATGAAAGAAGCAGTTTATATATATATGCACGTATATACAACCACATGTGAGTTGTGGCCATCGGCATGTGCTCAGAGTATCACTGTGGACCCTTGGGCTTCCCAATTTGAATAGCCCTGATCTCTATGGTTATCGTTTGGTTCAATGGCTTTCAGCACTCATGCTCTTACAGTTATTCCAACCCTCCTAAATTTCTGTTACCATGCAGATCATCTGGCTCGGATGATCTGGTTGGGATCGGTCCTGCTTTGGGCAGGGGGTTGCATTCGATGACCTCCTGAGGTCTGTTCCAGCCCTTTGACAGTATTCTAGGATAAGATTTTTATTGGGTTTTTGCTTTTTAAATATAGATACATATTACTACTGCTGTAGGTTGCTATTTTGTATAAAATATTAATAAATATTATAAAATACATCTGAAAAAGACACATACAAGTACAAAATAAATAGTATCAATAAATAAAAACAGAACACTGAAATACTGTTACAAATCTAACAAGTCTCAAAATATTTCATAGTGCAGGAACAAAATATATATTAGTAGTAGCTAATAATTCTAGTGTACTTCATTATAGATGGCCCAGAATTTCATATCAACAAACAACCAAACAACCAAACAACCAAACAAATACATAAATAAAATAATTGCTTTATGTATTACTGGAGAGAAACAGGCCTCTTGACATTACAGGTTCAGAGGTTTAGCTCGATGGAAATTCTGAGCGTAACATCAATGATTAGGAAATTGTAAAGCTTTTCTCCTGCGCTTTAAAGACTTTGTAGTCCTCTGGCATATTTTCAGCACTATCTTTGGTTTTCTTTTACATGTTCTCATGTGAGTGAATCCACTGATGGCAAGTAGCATATAAACAGTGCAACCGGAGTTTTGTTGGAGTTCGTCCCTTGTTCAACACACAGATTGATAAGAGTCTGGAAAGGAACCGGCTTGTAGGATCAACTGAGAGGTAAAGGATGCCAGTGGTGCTGCAGTGTTATTCCGCTGTCTTCAGAACATCTTTGCTTCAAACATCACACTCTGAAATGAAAAGGGGGGATGGATTAAAAAATGCAGAGGTTGAAATGCCAAATATAGTTCATATTTTTCCAACCAGCTGCCAAATTATAAATCCTGATCCTTACAGCACTTAGGATTTTCTGACAATTCTTTTGACCAAACCTGTTGAAATGAAGAGGCACACAGAAGAATAGTAGATCAAGTACTCCTGCCTGTCCCCCTGTGCAGAGGTAACTGGCAGAATGAGATGGTGGCTTAGAAGTGTATTGACTCAGCCCCACTGTTTTCTAGTGTCCTCATTGAAATCTTGTTTTATTAGGCTGTTACTCAAGCAGGCTTCTCATTGTTTTCTAGTGTCCTCATTGAAATCTTGTTTTATTAGGCAGTTACTCAAGCAGGCTTCTCATTGTTCCTTTCCCCACCTAAGACAATTACCGGGCAAAGGTATATTTGGTACAGGGAGTTATTACTCTTGACGTTTTCTCATTAGTTGTAATGATATATCTGTACATTTTTCATTTGGAATTATTAGATGTGGTAAGCAACCACCAAACTATAAGCTACTCTAAAATAGTATTATTACATTAGCTTGAAATATCTGTATGGGTACAATTTCTCTGGGCGAAAGATTAGGCGACATGTAATAGGAGGTATAAAGCCAGCTCTGTCCAGCTCTTTTCTTCCAACAATATTACTTGCATTATTTTCTAGTAAAAAATGGATATATCTAGTACCTTAATTTTCAAGACTCTTTGTTAGTATGTTGAGAACGAGAAAACATCTGGATACTTCCAAGCGGATGATCTCCCAGGCACAGCGGCTGTATTGCTTTTCTTTCAGGAAGAGAAGAGGGAGGGGGGATTTGATAGCAGCCTTTAGTGACCTAAAGGGAGGTTCCAAAGAGGTTGGAGAGAGGCTGTTCTCAATAGGGACTGATGGCAGAACGAAGAGCAATGGTCTCAAGTTGCAGCGGGGGAGGTTTAGGTTGGATATTAAAAAATACCACCTATTTCTCTAGGAGGGTGGTGAAGCACTGGAATGGGTTACCTAGGGAGGTGGTGGAATCCCCATCCCCAGAGGTTTTTAGGTCCCAGATTGACAAATACCTGGCTGGGTTGATTTAGTTGGGATTGGTCCTGCTTTGGGCAGGGGGTTGGACTCGATGACCTCCTGAGGTCTCTTCTAGCCCTTCGATAGTATTCTATGATAAGATTTTTATAAGCGGCTGTATTGCTTTTCTTTCAGGAAGAGAAGAGGGAGGGGGGATTTGATAGCAGCCTTTAGTGACCTAAAGGGAGGTTCCAAAGAGGTTGGAGAGAGGCTGTTCTCAATAGGGACTGATGGCAGAACGAAGAGCAATGGTCTCAAGTTGCAGCGGGGGAGGTTTAGGTTGGATATTAAAAAATACCACCTATTTCTCTAGGAGGGTGGTAAAACCCTGGAATGTGTTACCTAGGGAGGTGGTGAAATACCCATCCCCAGAGGTTTTTAGGTCCCAGATTGACAAATCCCTGGCTGGGTTGATTTAGTTGGGGTTGGTCCTGCTTTGGGCAGGGGGTTGGACTCGATGACCTCCTGAGGTCTGTTCCAGCCCTTTGATAGTATTCTACGATAAGATTTTTATGAGGCTTTTGCTTATTAAATATACATACATATAACCAGAGCTCGACAATTAGTGTAATCTACTCGCCCGTGATGGGTAGATTATAGGCCATATTAAATATACATACATATAACCAGAGCTCAACAATTAGTGTAATCTACTCACCGGTGATGGGTAGATTATAGGTCGGCACAGCCGCGTACTGCGGTAAGCTCATGCGTAGCGCGGTCTGCGCATGAGCAGCATGCCGAACCGCACAGTTGGCAAGCAGGCCTTGCCGCCACTTGTCGAACCCTGCAAATAATTACTCCTGTAGGTTGCTATTTTGTATAAATAAATATTTATTAATAAATATTATCAAATACATCTGATGAAGACACATAAAAGTACAAAATAAATAGTATTAATAAATAAAAATAGAACACTGAAATACTGTTACAAATCTTACAATGTGTAAATCTGTGCATTTCTTGTGTAATTAAGAAAAAAGCAACAGAATACTCGAATCCTGTGTAAAGTGTTTGGGTGTGGTAAGATATTGGTGGCCCATTCAACAGCTAACCATGAAGGTTCACACCTTTGGAGCCCGTTCAACAGCTAACCAAGAAGGCTCACACATTTAGTTGTACTTCTAGGAGACTGCATTTCCATGACGAGTTAATAGAGTGCACAGAATTGCCTTACTTAAAAAAATCCACACCAACAACTTTAAATCTTCCTTATCTATTTGGGGGAAACTACAAATAATTAGGAGGCTGTTTTGAATAGTGAAAATGGTTTTCTTCCTCTAATGGTTTGCTATCTTCGATTACATAAAAGGAAAGAAAGTGAAAAGGGAAAATTCAAGAAACAGAAAACAAAAACCCTCTCCTGCAAAATACTCAAATGCAGAGATGGCTCTAAAACACAAAAGTCTACAAAAGCGCTTGAACAAGGACCACTTGCTCAAGTTGTCCACAAAGACAAAGAATCTGAGACATCATGATGATTAATAGGAGTTTGCTGCCTTTTTCCCTTATGCTGCTTCTTTCCAGTGAAACCTCATGTCTGGATTGTAACAGGATTCATGTTCTACAAAGCAAAATGAACAGCAAGAGTTTAGAGCACCTGGAGAAAATGGGTGGACCCTTTCCCTTCCAATGCCTAAATGAAAGGTCAGCTTTCAAGGCCACAGATATCCTCAAGGTCCGACTGGCCCAGCAAGAGAACGCCAAGGCAGCCATCCAGCAGATCCTCCAAGAGCTCTTCCAGATCTTCAGCAAGAATCTCACCCACGCTGCCTGGGATGGGACTTCCATAAAGGAATTCCAAAATGGAATCCACCAGCAGATTGAGAAGCTGGAGGTGTGTTTGAGTGCTGAGGTGGAAAAGGAAACAACCTACCCAGGAAATGAGAGCCTCCTGCACACCAGCCTGAAGCTAAGGAGGTACTTCCAGACAGTACGCCATTTCCTGAAAGAAAAACAATACAGCCGCTGTGCCTGGGAGATCATCCGCTTGGAAGTATCCAGATGTTTTCTCGTTCTCAACATACTAACAAAGAGAATTGAAAATTAAGGTAATCGATATTTCCGTTTTTTTCCTAGAAAATAATGCAAATAATAGTGTTGGAAGAAAAGAGCTGGA